AAAACCAAACATAACCAACTCGAATACAACCCTCTTTTTTGTTTCCTACAATACAAAAGTTCAAAAGCAAAAACTTGTCCAAACGGAATTCCATCCAAATTATAAACGCTTGATTATTCACCCATATTGCATCTTCTAGCTCCTTGAAAATTTTACATAATTTAACATATACCACCTTGGCTAGTTAATTATTAAAATTTGGTCCCACCTAAAGACTAAAGATTTTAGCTAAAAATTTGATTCTCAACGAACTGGATATCTTTAAGCATCTTCTTATCAGTAAAATCTTGGCTATATCCTCCAAAGATCATTCATCTAATTTGAATTGTCCCACTCAATTCATAATTCAGGGCCCAGCATATACGCAAAACCTATTTAAAAAGACAAAAAAATAAATTCCAAGTTTTGCTCTATGTTTGCCTCGAATGAATGATTGCTTGGTAATCCAAGAAATTACTTAGAACCCCCTATCATTTCACCTATTTATTAAAACTTACCCTATAACTTGTGAATTATAAAACACCCTTGTACTTTTTAAATTGCAACCACGTAATTGAGCCTTCATCAGGAATTGTTTATATTTTCAAAAATACCCTTATCAGCTCTCGTATCAACCTTTTAGGCTATATTTATTTGTAATGCAATTTCATTTGCTATAATACAACTGTATGAGAGTTAGTACAAATGGGAAAATTGTAAATTTTGGTTCGTTTTTGCTTTAGTTTCATTTTATTTTGATAAGGTTTTAGTTTATATAACCTGTATTACAAAAACCTATAATCAACTTAAACTATATTTTGGATGCAACTTATTTGCACTCTCATGCTTTTGCATCAGTGCAAATGAAATTACACTACAAACAAACAAGCCTCAGAAAAAACCCTAACGAAAAATTAATACTTTGTTTTTTGTTTTTTTTTTTATTAATTCGGTTGAAAGATGTTAGGGTCAAAAATGTCATTTACTACTCCCATGTAAGAAAAACAGTGATAAATAAGGTAGTTGCAAATTTAGGCTATTTCAGTAATACACAAATTATTGGTTAGGTTTTATTAAGGCCCCATTTGGTGCTTCTTTTCGTGTGGATTATTGGGTTTTTAGGATTCCGATAACCTACGTTTTCATCTTTTTTTGTTTGATTGAGAAAAGATATAATCACCGAAAGACATTGTCCCGAAAAAACGCAAAAAAACCATTTTGAGATATTTTCAAAAAACTCCAAATAGGAGATCAAATCATCCCCATACAACATCCCTACCATGTATTGGGAACATCTTCCGATGAAATGATGGTATTATCATCGGGAGATGTTCTCAATACACGGCGAAGATAATCTATAGAACGTTGTGGGGGGGCTGATTTAAACTCTCCAAATAGAGTTTTTGCACTTATTTTGTTTTGTTTTTGTGGCAGAAAGACGCACCTCAAACTTAACGAGCTATAAGCTGCCAAAATCTTTATATAAAAGCCCGTTACATCTTTTGGCGATCACATCGTTTAAAAAATCTTTAAAAAAATGATTTACCAAATGAAATCTAAATACGTAAAACTATAGTGGTATCCATGTAAATGACCTTAAATAAAAGAGAAGAATTAAAAGGTCCCTCTTCAGCAAGCAATCTTCATATTAACAAGTGCATTGGTGTCATATGGTGCATGCCAGCACACAAAGTTTGGTATATAATGTGAAATGGACCCCAAGAAAGCGCCCTCCATTGTGAGGGTGCCCCAAAAGGAATTCCCTTTTTTTTTTAATAAAGAAGGAATTTCCTTGTTAACCATTCAGATTGTGAAACGTAACAGTCTAAGGGTATTTTAGCAATTAAACAATCCGTACGTTTACTAGAATACCCTTTGCCTATGGCAAAGTTTCATGTGATGGAGCCCAACTGCCCAGATAGGAAAATTTTCTGATCGTCTGTCCCCTCGCAACAGAAAATTTTCTGTCCCGTCCAATATTATTCGACCACATCATGTTATCCCACTTATTTTGAAACTAAAGGGAATTAGGATTCTAGACTTCAGATTTTGTCCATCGTTTAATCTCTCTTCCCTTTTCATTCCATCGTTTTGTTGTTCTGCCCAAATTCTCTTCTTCTCCCTCCCCTCTTCACCCAAGTGCCACTTCATCAGAGACGGAACTACATCTGAGCCGTTGCAAATCTCTCTTTGTCTCTCTTCTCTTCTCTTCTCCTCCTTCTCCATTGACATGCTGCGTCGTGACGCAAATCGCAAAACATGTCTTTCCTAGATGATAATACATCAGTTGTTGATTCCTACGATAGAGGGTTGCAATTCACGGCGCAAGGAAAAGAAACGGAACAGAGAATGTGAAGTGTAGCGGATACAGCAGTATCGGTGGAGACAACTAAAAGAGAAACATTTGGTTTGTGGGTTAGAAAGCCTAAAAGGGCTAACAGACATTGAAATATCACCCACACCTCCACCCTATGATACAGAAGACTATAGAAGCCAACAACTAAAAGCTTCTGTAACTTCTGCTTCAGAATTCCGGACCATGAACTCCACGAGTTTAAATGGTAAGCTCTTATAATAATAGATCCTAAGTTATATTTAAGCACCATGAATGACATTCAGAGGCTTGGGCCCACCATATTAGTGGAGGTGGAATCCACCAGATATCTTATGCCAAAAATGAAAAAACCAACCCAAGATGAAGCTGAGATCCCACAAACTTAACATTGTTATTATTGGAGGGAGATCCAAAATTTCAAGAATCTCTCTTGTTTTTGTCTTATCCTCTTCCCACTCTTGAATGCATGGGAAGACTCCTTAACCCACATTGCTTGGGAAAGGAATGGAAGTAGAGTATATCTATAGTTTTGTTCTCTCTCTCTCTATGGGTAGGGATCTATAGGAGGAGAGCACTATAGATATTCCATGCATATGAGGGGGGGTTGGGGGTGCCTTTCACATGCACGCATCGAGCCGAGCCGGGTTGTGTCGTGTCGTGTTGTGTGCGTGTGCGTGTGCGTAAGCACGATACACCAAATCGCTTTGTTTTTAACCGGATTTGAATTTCGAATTAAATGTTTTTGTGTCCCTTCAAATTTCGAATTTGTTTTTTTAACTTTGAACTCTATGCCTCTTCCTTCCTATTGGTCAACCCAGCCTATATACCAACAATTCATTCGACAGTCTTATCTTCTCTAGTTTTTCTGAGCATTAATTATTTGTGGTTTGTGGAGGTCTGGTAAGTGAGTATACGCCTACCAGTGGCTTGTGGGATGTTTTATCTTAGTGACCGATTTACGATCACCTGATTGCACCATAGGGGGCAAATGCGATTTTAAGGAATGACCAAGTGGTAGGCTCAGCCCTCATCTCTACAACTTCTCAGTTTCACAATTTTACAACAGCACATTCCTACAAGTTTCAATTTAAAAAGCAATTATCAAAATTCCATTCTACATTCTTCACGATTTTACAACAGCTATATCTTCATATCTCGTTTATGGAGGATTAATTACCGTGTGTTATGTTTCCAACTTTTCATTGCTTGTAAGATTGTTTACATGAGTTTCTATCTTTCCAACTTTCCGTTGCTATATCTTCATATCTCCGCATGAAGATACAGCAGTATATAATGGACAAAAGATTTATCATTTATTCTTCCAACCATCCACTCCCACTTGAGTAATTGGTATCCCGGAAYTAAAAAAGAAAAAAAAAAAACAAAAAACAAACAAATGGATGCAATTAAAAGGATTTATGTAGCTTACATGAAGACCATGATTAGTTTACAACATGGTAAAGTTTTCTAAAATCCAAACTGTACATCGAATCAATTTGATAGTTAAATACAAAACTCTGTTTCAAGCAAAACTTGCAGCAACTTGTGTTTTATGAAGAGAAACTTGTGCAGACTGCACATGACCCTTCCAATTGTTGAAGCTAGTCTTACTTTCTTGCAATGCGTACATGAATCAAATATTTTGATTCAGTTTCAAGTCCAAAAACACAGTTACCTCCTTGCTGGACGTTGATTGCATGGGCAAAAGCTTCCCACCCACTTGCTAAGACTTCGAATCCAGATCTTTCATGGTAAAGAACAGGCCACAATCTCATGGCCGAAACACGGAGGATTATCTTCCTATTTGTTCTAGCCCTTCCTCTATAACTGTGAGCGAGTGCCTCCATTTCTGTGGGCAACTCCTGCACAACCATTGCAGAAGTAACATCAAGCTGATGTGTTGGTAAATAGTAACTGGTACACTAGAGAAGATATGAACTTGCTCATGGTTTTTAAAACCGACCCCGAGACCGAATAGGTCAGGGGTCTGGTTACCGGGTCGAATGGTCCGATCCGAACAGTCGGCCCATTCTGACAAAAAAATTTAAAAATAAAAAAGAAATGAAAGTCGGTCAAAACCATTCGAATAATTAATTGTCCGTGTCAATGATTTACTGACCAAAATCAACAGCTTTTATAGAAAATCTGGTTTTGGGGAAAACCGGAACCGGTCACCCGGTCCGGTTTCCGGTTCCAATATTCACAGATATGCACAAAATTGGGCCCCATCGCTCATGGACGCCGGCTTGCAGTGAAGTGGCCGGTGGGATGCTTCTGGAGAGCTCGGTGGAGAAGAGAGGAAAAAATGGGAGGGAGGTCAAAATTCCAAATGACTGAAAGAAAGGTGTTTTGTCCTTTTGTGTCTGGTTGAACCAAATTATTTCAGTTGACGTTAGTGTTGCTGACGTGCTTGTTTTTCGTTGGTGGGTTCACGCTTCCCGTGAACCCACGGGTTCACAGGATGCAAACTCCCGTCTGTGGCCCATAGTTTCTTGTATTGGCCAGCAATGAAAATCCCTTTCTCACATGTCCCATGTTACAAAGATGACTTGTTTAGTTGGTAACGCCAGTACATCAATTCCCTACCTCACAGTCTCATGTTACCCTTTCTTTGAAAAGAACAGCCAAACAACTCACCCATGTGCGTGTATCTTCTCTTTTTCATGTCTTACTGAAAACATTATCATCAAATTAATTCTTTAATATCATTATCAAGCAAATTATATATGTAAACTGTTGAATCACAGTGATACAAGTGTAGTACTATACAACGTACAAGAGCACAAGACATCCCCCAAAGCAAATAAAGAAATGAATGAACAAATAAAGAAATGAAATCATCCTAAAAGGCAAGAGCTAACCCTAAAACAAAAACCCAATTGAGCTTCCCCTCCAATGTCCTTAGATTCATGGATATGGAAGCAGACCCTGATGTAGCTTTAACATCTCCCTCCTCCTCCTTAGGGTTGTTAAAATTTGATGGAACTGCAATGTCCGGTGTTGGATTATTATCTTCGTCGCCACTGCTCACCGGAGCTGGAGCTTCATCAGATGGGTCCTTGAGACTATCAGGCAATCCTTGGCCATGTGTGACATTTATCATGAAATGTTGTCCGTTTTTGCATTGTTCCCCATCATAATCACTAGAAAAGAAGTATGTCATTCCTTCTTTGACTAGAGGCACAGCTACTGATACTGGGTGAGGAGTTACTGAATTTGGATCTGAAGATGACCATTGGATAGTATCATCTTGTTCGGAATCATCAAAATCGCAGAGGTTGTATGTTGTGAGGTTGTATGTTTGGACAACCGAATGGTTATTATCAGTGTTGAAAACTGCATTAGAGAAAAGCAACAACTTAAGTAAAAAGGCTATGGATGGGCAAGGATGATACTTGACAGTAAATAATCTAGAATTAAGACAAGTCTTAGGGGCTTGTATGATTTTGACTGGATTTCATTCATGAGTTGGTGAGCTCTTTAATGGCTGAATAATTTGAATTTGGGTTTATTACTATACCCTAGATATTTGATTACTTAATTATGTTATCAACAAAAACACAAATCAACAAGTCATTCAATTCAGGCTCTTCAGCCGCTACTAAATGGCCCCTTTAGACTGTAAAGAAGGTCATTATATTTCAAGTGAACTGGAAATTAGCAGAACAGATTCTGACCCACCTCTCGTTTCATCTCCACTGTGCACCATGAATACAGCTATGAAACTTGATAGATTGTCTTTACACTCCACAAGTGATTAGACTGGAACATAATCGCCATTTATAATCTAGGCCTTGGAAAATTATTTCATAACCAAATATTTCTATCTACAAACATTGGATGGAATTCTCTGTAATATGAAAATATAATCATCAAGAGAACATTAAGATGCATTTACAGAGATGATAAATAAAAACAAATCACACAAGCATGCCTACAAAACAAGAATTGGAGCAAAAGAAAACTGGAAAATACTGCCATTTCCTAGCTAGCAGAAGAATAGAAATATCTAATGTAAATGCTAGGTAGTAGGTCTTCTCTCTCTCTTTCTCTCTCTCTCTCTCTCTCTCTCTTCAGAAGCTTCTCTTGATTTAAAAAATTGTATGTTTCAAAAATATAGAGAAAATATAGCAGTAAAATGAAAAGTTCCTCAAGTGGGTAGATAGAATTGTTCATATAAGAGTGCCATTTCAAGGCCGCAGTACAGTTTTACAGAGTCAGATACAAATTACTTCAAATGAGTATAGAACCTTTTTTCCTGCAAAGGTAGAGGCGGAAATTTTCACAGTTTTCATGTTTTTTCTTTTCAATTAGAAGAGGAAAGACCGTAAAAGCAAGACCAATCAACTAAAATAGGGAATATTGCAATAAATAGTTACAGAAAGATGCAAACATTGAACTGTAATTTATAGCTTTTGTGGGCTTACTTAGAAAATCTCCCAAGCTGAAGTTCTTCCCAGCAACCCATTTCTGGTAGTCCACCTTGGGGTTTTCGAGCTTGTCATACCAACCCGAGGAGTCGCCCACAGTGTAGTTCTTGTAAGCTTCAACAGATACCGAAAAAGTGAAGATCAGTACAAAGAAGAGGAAGAAGGCTAGAAGATTTCTGTGAATTCTTCTCTGCTCCATCTTCGTTTGGGGTTTGAGAGACTGAAGACAAGACGGAGATGGACCTTTTGAAGAATAAAGAGAACGAATCGAAGACGATAGAAAGCTTTGTTTTCGACATGACCATCCATTCCGTCATAATTACCCAACTGTACCCTTCTGGCTTTCTAGTTGGGATTGTTAAGGAAATGTTTGGTTGCAGGTATAATTCTGCCTTTAAACACTTTCAAATTTCAGACTAAACGAGGAAAAGCTTAATTTGAAGACAGTAAAGCCAGGACCTGCCAATTATATGGACAACTCGATTCAATCCTCACAAAACGGTGATAACACCGTATTCAGTCATTTGCAACCGTGTATTGAGAGGGATGGGATCTGCTCCTCACAACGGGGGCGCTTCATAGGTACATCCACCGTGTATTGTGAATATTTCCCGTGAATAATAACTAATAGAGGAGATGTTTCCAATGCATGGTTAGATGTACATGTGAGGTCGGTGTGAGACGCCTTGAGTAAGGAGCAGATCTGGTCTGTATTGAGAACATTTTCGTATTTATATATTTTTATTTATAGATAGATTCTTGATACATAACTGTAATTGGCTGTGCCTCCAAAAAAAAGAAAAAAAAAACTGTAAGTGGCTGTGAAGATGGTATAAATACCGTTTCGTGAGGACTGAATTCCATCTCATATTAGGATTGAATTAGGATAGATTTCGGAATTTGTGCTTTTAAAGCTCAAGCCCTAATTTTAGGCTTTGAACTTTGGAGTTTATATCTACCCCACCCAATACAAAGCGTGCCCTATAAACGTCCCACATATGCATCTCAGTTAGCATTGAGAACATCTCCTATACTTATCATTGGGAGATGTTTTCAATACACAGTTGGGATGTATTGTGGGAAGTTTTTGAAACACGCTCTCTGGGTGCAGATGTGAATTCTGAATTTTGGGGTTTAAAAATGTTTGAACTTTCAGATCATGTTATGAAAGAAAATTGTTATCAAATGCTCTAAAGTCAAAAATTCGTTTTCCATGAAATTTATATTCCCCATACGAGACCGGTCGGTTGAACCGGAAAGAACCATACCAGCTCTGAAAATTTGATACTTTAACTGCAAACAAGCACATTTCCAAGATTGGGCTCAACTTCTGATTGGTTCCATTCTTATAACACATGTTTTAATAATAGATTAATAGGTCACTTCAGAGCCAATTGTTGTAAAGCATATAACAGTTCATTCCGGATTTAGGCCCATTTAGTTGTTTGAGTCTGTAAATTGGACCCAGGTTTGGTTGATGTAAATTGAGCTCATTACTAGAGCCAAGATTGGAATAGACATACATATGCAACCAAACATTCTGGATAAGTGATAACCGATGAATGGTATTAAAGTAAAGAGTACTTCTTGATGCAAATTTTGCATTTCTTCGCTATATATGCAACAAGGTGGGGCCCAAGTAAAGAGTATTTCTTTAAATGACCCCCATGTCTATGTCTATAGGGAAAAGTTCTTTAGAAATGTATAAAACCGTTATTTTGCAGCAATCCTCAAAGTGAGGGACGTGTAAAGTAGTGTCAGGCGAAGAAGGGATCTATCATGTGATTATTGGTTGGAGCATTTGAATGATTGACTTTAGTACGCAATAAAAACTAGAACTAATGGCTTGGTGCGGTGTCGGTTGTCAATATTCCTACTCCACATCATTTGGTTCAAATACTTTAGGCTACAGGGAGGTCTGTGGTCCGCACCTTTAAGATCTGATCTCCTCCCTCTATCTTTTTGACCATCATATTTCAGTTAATTTAATTAATTCTTGATGGGCCTATCACCACTTTCGGATCGTAACTAAGATAAAACCTTGTAAAACTCGCATAGAAAGGCTGAATCTTGGATTAAAAGTGGTTTTTATTCTTTTTCAAGGATAGTGATTTAGGCGCATGTGGCAACGCCTAGGATGGCACCACATGGCATCGGCCGGATGCAATCCCAGTCGCCTATTACCAACTGTGAGCTTCGGGAAACTTATGGCCGGCTCAAAAAAGTGGAGTCGCCACCTATTTTTTAGAGGAAATGGACCCTCATTTTCACACTTGAAAGTTTAACTTTGGCTCTTTGATAGTGATTTCGTTCTCCACGAGAAAGGCACTGAATTGAAAGGTTTTGGATTCCAAAGATTGGGAGAGGGAAGGTGTTGAGCACCCCTCTCTCCAAGCTGCTATAGTTGAAGGGATGAGAGATCCATCATATGGATGGCCGAATCACATTCCCTATTTTAGAAAACTGTATTTTCAAAGATCAATCTTGAACCAAAATCAGACCAGATCTAAAACCAAAAGGGAGTGGAGGGTTATACCTGATACGAAGTAACAATAACCTCCAATGAAGGTGTTCATACCCAAGGATAGATCCAAAGATTGCTTCCACCGAAGACGACACGGTGCAGGATGAAGCAAAATCAACAAGATGGCTCTTTAGTAAGAACCTGATTCTTCAGCAAGAATCTGATGGAGGGCTAGTGAGCACGACTTCAGATTACCTTTTCTGTCAAAAGGTAATATCAAGAACTCTTCTTGATCGCTCTCACAGGTGGAGATCGAACTGGTATGGTGGAAGGAGCAGGAGAGAGCAAGAGCAGAAGACAAAAGTAGTCAAATTGTATGTTGTCCTCTCTCTTAAATCAGTAGACTAATGGATGAACTAGAGGTTCACCCTGCTCCTCTATTTATAACCTTAAAGAGAGGTTCTCCTAATCCTATTAGGAGTTTTCTAATCCAAATCTTGTATTTGGATCTGGACTCTCTTTAAGAGATAAGGATAATCCCTTGTCTTATTTGCATATAAAGATCAGCCCTCCTAATCTAATTAGGAGTTTCCTGATCCAAATCTTTATTTGAATCTGGACTCTCTGAGTGGATAGGGACAATCTCTTATCCTATCTACTGACCTAAATCCCAGAACTGCCTCTTTTTAATTAATCTAATTAAGCCAGTTCGAATTGGGCTATAGGCCCATTAAGTCTATGTGCTCACTTACCCTCCAAACTACTATCCAGTTGGATATCCTTGTATTGTGTGGGATCCAAACATTGATCTATACATCAGTCACATGGGTTCAGCCCAGCCTCTATTACAAGACCTGGCCGAATTCATTGTAGGAGATAGCGAACCCCTGAGTCCATCACCATGGGCTCTTAATGGGCCCAGCATTTATATTAAATGGTCTTTGGGTCAAGCCACCTTATAAAAACACAAGGACTGTGGGCAAATGCAAGATTAGCCCATCAGGTATTATCCTCAATGGTCTTA